ACGATTCCTACATGACCAAGGGAGTGAGTGAGTTCAAGTGTAGATTGTGCACAAGGCGGAGTTAGCCTGAAGATGATAATCGTAAAGCTAAATCATCGGCGAAATTTCTTGAGACTGCGGGCTCTGACTATGAAGAGTGCGAATCATCTGACGCTACACTGAGACAGTGCTTCTGCGCTATTAAAAAGATCGTATTGTCGCTTGCCAAGAAAGTGGACCAGCTTGTCGATACAGTCCGATTCCTTCGGGATGAGAATGCGGCCATAAGTGATGGACTGGGAAAAGTGAGCAACCAACTTCCCCTGCTCACTCGTGTCGCGCCTGACAGCGTCTATTCCCCCGAGGTCACGGGAAACCGACCAAGCTACGTCAGAGCTGCACGAACTACCATTTCAGCTGTCCGTCGTCCTGCGGCTTCTTCTTCAAAAAGACAAACCATGACCCCAGGCACTGCAAGGTCCCGTCATGATCACACTGGATCCCCTGCTGGAGTATCAAGCCCAAAGGCTATCGCAAGCGCTGAAGCAGTTGTTGAGCCCGGTGACGGGTTTAACATTGTCACTTATGGCAAACGTTGCCCTCCGCCTGGAGTGAGAGCCCGGTTGAACGCCCCTGTTGCTTCTGTACCTCGTCCACCTGCCAAGCGCACTCCATCTGCTTCCAGGCTTAATCCGTCCACTACGCGTAAATACCTTAAAGAACTTGTGTCGTCTACACTGGAGGTAGGCTCGTATATCTGTACAAAGATCCGCAGCAAATATGGTACCTATGCTTCGCTCCATATTAACACCACTGTTTAAACGTTCAGCCGCATCAATAACTCTAGTCTGTGTCCTGAGGGATGCTTGTTTAGGCCTTTTGGGGGACCACTGCCTGAATCAGTACATGTAGAAACTGCAGATAACATGCCTCAATGAACAGTTTGCAGATGTAGTACCAAAATGGTTGTGGTTTTAGGACTAAGTCTGACATATGTTTTAAAACAGTTTTAACTTTAAACTTTGGTGTATTGTGCATTACTGAAACTTGATGCACCAGTTCTATCTCCAGTCTTGAATACTTTACGAATGTCTATCAATTGTTTCGATGTGACCATGACTCGACAGGTTCATCAACGACTCTAAAAAGGGGCGATACAGAAGTCTTTATCATGTTTTCGACGAACTGATCTTGAGGTAAATTAGAGCATTTCGATTGAAGTTCAATTAGCTTATGAAGCTAATCTGCCTAACGGAAGCTAATATTTCCTACCTCGTTCTGGGCTTATTGCACTAAGCTGTGTCTTAAAACATAGAGCTGCGTCGGCTGACTTTACAGCTTACAATGTTTTAATTTTCGTTGATTTTAACTTGCCTAGAATTGAGGGGGATTTGCACTTATTCAGTGACGAACAGACTTCTGGATGTGAGGAATAGCTACTCGATTTTGTCAATTTTAATAGAGTTGACCAAATAAACCTATCTATAATTGCTGCCGGAAATATTTTTGATCGTTGCCTATACAATATCCGATTGGCATCGGAGGGCACTAGCGACGATCCTGTTGTTTCTAAAGAAAAGTGGCATCCCCCTTTCTAACTTATGGTTTCAGTCTCGTGTGTTAGAACTTTGAATCAGTAGCCTCCGACGTACAATTTTATTCGCGGTGACTACTTTGGGTTATACACACATTAAAAAAAATACTGAGTGGAACGATGTTTATCAAAGTGATTATGTTGACCGTACTATTTCTTTGCTAATGGATATCATGAAGATTACTATGGATCCCTTTATACCGGTAAAACCATGTGGATGATTAGTAATAGCTCTTGTGGTTTTCCTGAGATCTCCGGCAGGCACATTTCCTGATATCGCGGTTTTACAAGCACTACAAGTCTTCCGGTTTGGAAAGATGGCACAACTTATTCAAGGAGTATCGTTCCATGGTGAAGATGTTTCTCAAAAAAGATAACCAGATGTGGGAGGACGGTAATGAGTCTGACCTAAATAGCCGCCCTGACCGACTTTGGTGGTATGTTAGATACAGCAAACCATCTAGAAAATGTGAGGCCATCATAGTGAAGACCATCTCAGGTTTAACTCCCGATTCTCTCGGTGTTTGCAATCTGTTTGCTAATTATTTCTCCTCTATACGAATCCCATCACACCCATGCTGGTTATTGCAGCCACGTGTCAAGATACGTTCCACCTTACGTCCACTCCTAAATTGACTTCTGAGGACGTCATTTCCGGGATTAGGGAACTTGCTCCAAAAGATCATGCGGGGAAGAAGGGATTCCTGTCATCATAGTCAACGGGTGCTATGCAATACTGGCTCCCGTGAAGTTACATATCTTCAATATGTCACTAAGACAAGTGCGTTTCCACAGGCATGAAATAACGTTTTGATTGTTTCAGTCCACAAAGCTGGAAGCAACATGTGTGTTGACAAATATAGACCAATTGCTCTGCTCTCTAATTTTTCTAAGGTCTTTGAAAAATCAATTTTGGAGCATATTAGTTTTACCCTCGGAACATATTAGTTCTCGTTTTAAGGCGATGCGTAGTCTGCGCTAGTATAGTTTTTGTTACGGGAAATCTGTTGAGACAAACTTTACAATCTTCTTGGAATTCGCAAAGCCTCTCATCGAATCCCCACGGCAGGTAGATGTAGTTTATTTTGATTGTTTTAACGTATTTGATCGTGCAGATAACAGTCAATTGTTAAGGGGGACTCACCTCATCCGATTTTTATGAGACTTACTAATTCACGCCCAACTGTCCCAAAATTGTTTTTGGACTTCAAAACTTTTTTTTTTAGTTTTATTACTGTTCTTAACAGGATGTGTTGCTTACTTTTAAGATATAACTGTTCTGCGTTGAACACAAAATAAAAATGTAAAACCGCTTTTGTCCATAGAAATGCATAAGGAAAATAAAAAAAAAAATTAATAAGTGCGAGACCGTTGTCAATATCAAACTGACTTATGCCGTGGTGCTTGTTTTGTCACTCATGGATGTCAAATCATATTCCAAAGAAAAAACAAAAAACTTGCGTAGCAGTTGGTCACGAAACTAACAATGTGATATATGAGTGGGGCAAATTTGTCCTATATGGCTCTGTCTGCCTAGCAAGCACGTCTTTTTGTATTTTGCGCTCGTAATTACTGTATTTTCTTGTTTTCGTGACAGGAGGCTACGCCCAAAGCCCCCCTCCGTTTCACGGCGCGCATAAGCCAACGACACGATAGTGTCACGGGCTTCCCGTTTTCCCCCAAAGCATCCGGTCTTCTTCTTTGAACTTCGCTGAACGCTTTGTCAGCTCTCTTGGGTACGGAGGAGGCACGGGTGGTACTGATGCTGGTGGTACTAGGCTGGTGGTACAGATGGCGTCGACGCCAGATTGAGAGCTTCGCAGCATTCTCAGAGTAACCTGACGACGTTATAGGATCTCCTTGTCATTAATATTTCGGCTGCGTGTACTGTTTTTATTTTTTTTAACTGCCGCAAAGATATGACGCGTGTATTGCGTGTTGTTAATCACAGTTTCATAATTTAGTGTGTCATTTACGGTGGGAAGGATAACCGATAATAAAAGAAGGGACACGGCGACGAGAACAGAGTGAGGTTTAGTCTACATTTTAGGCAGTCGAGCACTAGTGGGGCGGGGAGGGTGATTCGGCCCGGGGTGCAGCACTCACGGGGGTGCAGCTGGGCAAAGAAATTGAGGTGCAGCCGCGGCGATCCACGAGAAGGTGGGGGGGGGGGGGGGGGGGGGGTGTGTTGCGGCGGGCCCTGCTGCATCTGTTGAGGAACCAAGGAATACGAAGGCATTTACGCTAGACAAATCGGTCGGTGCGACCTTTTCCTTTACTGTTCGTTTTTCAGACTGATAAAAAATACAAAAAGCATGAGCTCCCGCCACTTCTCTTCTTCCTCATCGTCCGGTTGCAGCATCCTCCCGAACCTGAAGCTGACTTGGACGAATTTCCAGCAAATAAAGTTTCTGCGCGGGTCTCTTTATGAGCGTACCGTTTTGCTGTTTCACGAGACAGGCACGAACAATTCCGTCAGTTCCGGGGTTCGTCTCTACGATTCTCCCCAGTTCCCAGAACAGCTTGGATGCTCGGTTATTTTCCACTATGACTACGTCGTCCACTTTCAGGGAGCAAGTATTGGTGACGGGATATCGATGAGCTGACCGCAACTCCAACAGGTACTCAGACCTCCAGCGTTTCCAAAAATGTTCCATGATTATTTTTCGATACTGGGACTGGCGAGCTGTTTCCTTCTTTGTCACGCATCCTGGGCGGTCGTTAGACAAGCTTGTTTCTGGTAGAACTGTCAAACTTTGCCCTATTAAGAAATGTGCTGGCGTGATGACTGATGGCTCTCCTACTCCCGAGTAGAGATATGTCAGTGGTCTTGAGTTTACCATTGCTTCCACCTCTGCAAGGACAGTCGTCAGTGCTTCGAAGCATAGGCTGCTTCTGCCCAACACTTTCTTAAGTGCTGTCTTGACAAATCGAACGAGCCTCTCCCACCACCCGCCCCACCATGGAGCGGCCTCCACAATGGACTTCCAGTTGATTCTGTGTTCTGCAATGTATGATTTGAAAACTTCTTGCTCCAGTGCAGCCAATGCCTTCTGGATGTCTTTTGATGCTCTCTTGAAGGCTAGTGCATTATCAGAATATATGTGTAGTGGTATGCCTCTTCTTGCTATAAAACGCCGCAAAGCAAGCAAGAAAGCTTCCGCAGTGAGGCCCTTTGAGAGCTCGAGGTGAACTGCTCGAGTGGAGGCGCATGTGAAAAGTACGACGTACGCTTTGCTGCAGCTACCGTCGTTTCTTTTTGCGTACAGCGGCCCTGCGAAGTCGACTCCGGTTACCTCGGACGGCTTTGCCTTCTTGATTCGATCTGTCGGTAGCGGAGCTTGCTCAACAGCAGTTGGCCTCGCATTCAACCGTGAACATACGAGGCAACTTTTTATTACCTTCTTGGTCAGCTGCCTAGCACGTATTATCCAGTACCTCTCTCGTAGGTAACACATTGTGCTTGTTGCTCCCCGTGCATAACCTTACAATGAGCGTGCATCACAATTAGCTTGACAAAGTTATGGTCGTTCGGTAATAGGACTGGATGTTTCACATCGAGACTTTCCGTCAACCTCTGCAGTCGTCCTCCGACCCGCAGGATTTTGTTTTCGTCAAAGAAAGGATGATACTCTGCGAGTCTCACATTAACCTCCGTCGTATTTTTCTCGCGGAGTATAATATCCGTCTGAAACCTTTCGTTTTGTATCTGCCTGATCCAATACTGCTCTGCTTTGTCCAACTCTGCCGCAATTGATCCACCTCGTATTTTGTCATTTCTCGTCTGAGCGTTGTTAGCGAACCCAATGACCCAGGCAGTGATTAACAGAACCTTCTGGTAATTCTCGTAACTTCTGGTGTCGAACAATGATGGAACTTCTTGGTCTTTCTCCAACAGCATATGTGTCTCTTTTTTTACTTCGAGTTGAGGCGTGTCTTCCAAAAACACTGAAGATTCAGGCCGTTCGGAAGGTTCTTGACTGAGCCAACTCGGCCCTTTCCACCAAAGAGAGTTGGTACGAAGCTCCTGAACGCCTAGTCCTCTGGTCAAGAGATCTTTAGAACGGCCGACGACCAAGGAAAAACAGTTACCATGTTAGTTGTTGCAAAGACGAGAGTGGCACCGATAAAACCTTTATCACTGCCTAGGTTAGAGCTAATGGGGCGAATATTAGAGCCAGACTCCTACGATACATAAAACAGTCATATTATGACGTGGAACTTGATTACATTATGTGGACCGACTCAACGGTTGCCCTCAGTTGGGTGAGAGGAGTCCCTGAAAAATAGAAGCCATTTGTAAAAAACAGGGTGGCAGAGATACGCATCATGACATCCCCGGACCACTGGAGGCACTGCCCCGGTCAAGAAATCCGCCGGATTGTCTTGACCGGGGCAGTGCCTCCAGTGGTCCGGGGATGTCATGACGCGTATCTCTGCCACATTGTTTTTTACAAATGGCTTTCATTTTTCAGGGACTCCTCTCACCAAACTGAGGGCAACCGTTGAGTCGGTCCACATAATTTAATCAAGTTCCACGTCATAATATGACTGTTTTATGTATCGTAGGAGTATGGCTCCAATATTCGCCCCCATCACCTCCAACCTACGCAGTGATAAAGGTTTTATCGGTGCCACTCTTGTCTTCGCAACAACTAACATGGTAGCTGTTTTTCCTTGGTCATCGGCTGTTCTAAAGCACGCACAAGATCCGTAGGCTTTCGTGCTTGCATCTACGAAGACGTGCAGCTGTACTTTCTTGGCTCCTGCCTGGATGCCTCGCTTGGCATGTCTTGGTATACTTAACGAATGCAGTTGAACAAGGTCCGCCGTCCAAGCGTGCAATTCAGTGATCAAATCAGCGGGGAGTTCTTCATCCCAGCTGATTCCCAATGTCCACAGCTTCTGAAATAGCAGCTTAGCTGTTAGGACGAAGGTCGCGATCAATCCAAGAGGATCGAATACTCCTGAGGCCGCCTTGAGGATGAACCATTTAGTGTCCGCATTTGCTGAGAGGAATTCAAGCAAAGCTTCAACTTTGTAAATAAAGCAGTCCCCTTCGTGTTCCCACATCATTCCAAGTACCTTGGAGATTGGTGAAGGTGAGAGGCTTTTTTCTTCGGTCATAATTTTTGGCTCCTCCTTGTTGAACTGCTCCTGCAGTTGCTCATCGTTCGCAGTCCATTTCCGGAGTGTCATCCCTGCCTGTCTCATGACGCTCTTGGAAGTGTGGTAGAGCCTCACAGCATCCTCAATATCGTTGGCTCCGAGCAGTAGACCATCAACGTAGAAAGATGTTCTGAGTTTCTCTGCTAATTGTGGGTCTTCTTCGCAGACCAACTTCAAGTGATGTTGTATTGTAGCTATGAGCATGAATGGACTAGACGTGGATCCGAAAGGAACCCGAGACATCCTCCACTCTTGAATTTCTTCCTTGTTGAAAGGGAAACTTGGCTCCTCAGCAAACCAAAGGAATCTACAAGCATCACGATCATCTTCACGGATGGCAATTTCTAAAAACGCTTTCTCAATGTCGGCGGTCATTGCAACTGAGTACCATCTAAACCGAAGCAGGACCTGCAGAAGCTCAGGGTTCAAGTTGGGTCCTGTTACTAGGCACTCATTCAACGACCTGCACCCTTTGGCATGAGAAGATGCGTCGAATACGATCCTTAACTTTGTTGTTGTTGCACATCTTCACGTATTACTTCTTTATGCGGCTTGTAATACATGACCTGCGCGCTGTCGCTTTCCTTTCTGCTCTTTATCACCTTCTGCATGCCCATCACGCAAATACTGTCTCATTGCATGATCATACCGCTTTAGTAGTCCCTCTCTTCGTGAGATTCTTCTCAACAAGCTCCCTAGACGTAAAATGGCAACTTCGCGGTTGTTTGCCAGCATATCAGCAGCGTCTTCTTTCCACGGCAGAGCCACTTCGTATATTCCGTTTTTCTTAATGATGTTTTGCTCAAAGTGTGTAATGGTGTCTGCATCAGTGTCTCCGAGCTCACTGTCGGCAACTCCCATTCTGTCTAACTTCCAGGACTGTAGCGCCTCTTCCACTTGGGTTTCTTTTGTCTTCGCTTGAAGGACACATATCATCAGACTTGAATCCCATAGGAGCCTTCCCACCTGTCTTGAAGGACCTTGCAGCGTCTAGCCCATCTTTGTGTTGATCGCTACCAATCTGTCCACATCTGCGCACCTGATCACGTCTCCTGTTCAGAACTTCCACACCTGGTCGGATCCAATCAAAAACAGTTCCAGGAACTGTTTTTACACCTGGGAAAATCACGTCGTCTGCCAAATTCTGACTGCTTTCTCGCAGAAATCGCACAAACGGGATGTCAGTTGTTGACGTAGATACGTCCTGGCAAATGACCGGGATGGAAATTGCTTCAAAGGTTTTTTCTGTATTGTCAAATTGACTTTTGAGCTTTACCTCCAGAACGGGACTGCGCTCTATAACCTTCGAAGCATTACTGGCGAAAGTGTTGAGTGCTATCTTTGTTCTCCGCAGGACTTTTAGCCCTAGGCGTTGCGCTACCTCTTCTTTTATAAATGTGCGCTGGCTGCCACCGTCGATTATTCCCTTGACATAGCAGCTGCCAGCGTTGGTCACTAGAAATGCCTTGAACGTCTGTAGATATATGCATCACTAAACTTCTTTTCTGAGCGCGCGCCCGAGCTGGATGCAGACACGCAAATCGTGTCGTTACCTTGGGGCGAACGTTCCTTCATCCGCCTAACAAACTCAGGATCGCACATTGTGGTTCCATTTCTGGCTCTGCAAACTGCGCAACTGAGGTTTTTTCTGCAATCTCGTGCTCGGTGACCTTTCAATGTGCATCGGAAACACCTCGAGTCTGTTGATAACAGACTTAATTTTTCCTTTCTCTATTTGCTGCAATCACAAGATAGCGTGGTGTGCTTCTTTGAAGGGCAGAAAAAACACTGAGAATGTGCAGCATTTGTTGCGTTATGAAGAGCTGATCCTGATGCAAACGACTTTGCCTTCGTCTCGTGTTTGCCTCGAGCATCCTCAAGGCTACTTCTTTCTCGGCTTTCTACTTCCACGCGCAGGAAGCGAAGCATTCCATTCAATTCGGTCACTGACTCCGACGGAGTACCCGCTGACCTTGAAGTTCCAGCCGCCGATCCGTCTCCTTGCTCTTGAGCCGCTGCGTTAGTGAAAGCGGTGTTGTTGACTTGCCTGTGATACTCCACTGCAACCTCGTAAGGCAACGCCCTAACAAGAATGACACAGAGCATGGCTGAAAAACTTGACGTGGGAACATTCAAAGAGTTTAGACACCGAACGTTGAGTTGTGTGGTGTCATACAGGTTTCTCAACCCTCTCACATCATTAGCTGAAGCAACGTGCGGTAGATTTCTAAGGACATTAAGATGCTGCCGCTCTATTCTCCACTGGTCTCCAAGCCTCTGTTGCAAGATGGTGCTCGCTTCGACATAGCATATTTTTGTTGTTGGTAGCCCGGCAATCGCCGCAGCAGCATCTCCCGTTAGACACCGACGAAGGTAGTGGAACTTATCAGTGGTTGTTAAAGTTGCATTGGTATGGATGGCTCCACCAAACTGCTCCCAGAATGTGAGCCAGTTGCTTAGCTCTCCATCGAAGGTAGATAACTCCAGGTTTGGAAGCTTTGGTCCACGTCTCGCTGCGTTGTCTTGAATGCCGGTTTGGTTTCCGGTGCTTGCCGCCGAAGCTATTCTTCTCTGCGATTGTAGGCATTCAATCTTGCTTTCCCACTCGCTGATCACCATGACGGCTTCGTCTTGGTATTCTGCACTGGCGGTGCACTCACTTTACAGTTCTTGGATTGGAATTAGCCGCTCTATCTCACCGTCAAGTAGTCGGAGCTCTGCATTGCTGGTAGTGAGTCTGTCCTTGATCGAACGCACTCTTGTTAGGTCGGGGCTGGGATCCTGTAGAACTCGATTGGCGTCGTTCATTATCCTAGTGTTCTGTGCCCGCCGAGCCGACCGCCTAGCCTTCAGCCTTTCCATTGATTACTCGTATTTACGAGGTCGTATGGTCGCCTGCCAAGGTTCCGTCGCTGTTCTTTTCCCAGTGGTCTGCTCCCGCCAAGGAACTGCTAAATTCCGTTGCAGCTGCAGGATTGAAATTCCCTGCGGCGTGTAGCTTGGGCCCTTGTAATGCGGGAGTGTCGTGGGTTTCGGCACCGTGAGGAACCAAGGAATACGAAGGCAATTACGCTAGACAAATCGGTCGGTGCGACCTTTTCCTTTACTGTTCGTTTTTCAGACTGATAAAAAATACAAAAAGCATGAGCTCCCGCCGCTTCTCTTCGTCCTCATCGTCCGGTTGCTTAGCATCACCGTTTATGCAAACAATACCGGCTGTCTGCGCAAACAGGTAAACACGCAAAACGCGTTGCGTGCCGCACGCAAACTTTCCAAAATAGCGTGCGTAAGCAACGCGCAAAACTGGCTGTGCGGGTGGCGCATGCTCAGTGCAGACCAGCAACTTTTTTGAGTGCACGGAAGGCTACGACTCTATGATATACTAAAACTCCCTTGTGTTCCGCGGGCAGCTACTATTGGGAACCGTTTTTACACAGTAAGGGAGACGTAGTTGTTTGGGTGCTGGCATAAGTGTTTGAAAACGGTTTCTTCCCAGTTTATCCCGATTACCTAATGTCTCTGCAGGCAGGCCTCGCATACTTGTGTTGCTACGCGCCCGTTGTACGCAATCAAAAAAATTTCGCGCAAGGGTTCCTCGATATCTGACAGTTGCCATTAGTGATGAGCTTTGTTTCTTTTCTTTAGAAGCAGCCCATTTTCGTTCTACCTAGCGTTATAAACAATGCAAAAAGGTTTACTTCTGGCGCTTGTTCTCACTCTACTTTCAGGAGGCACTTTGAAATGAACATGAGTTGCAGCAAAAAGTTCCTATCTGTCTTTTTTTTTTTAAATATCCGTGCTTGAAGAGTAGAGCTATGAGCGGAAAGTTGTGACGGTAGAATTTTGTTGTATCTGACTCATGAAAACGTCGAGGGGCAGCTACTGCTTCAGTGCAAGGACTACTAAAAAAAAAGCAGAATAAACCATAAAACAAAAAAAAATTGTATTTGGTCATAAAAGTAACGAGAAAATTAACTGTCTACTTCTGAAGTAAAGTAACATGATGCTTTTGAAAATCGATAAAAATAAACGTATTTAGTTACTTTTTGAGCGAGTAACGAGTAACAGTATTTAATCACTTCTTGGGGGGAACGTGTACATGTCTGTATGCGCGTAGCTTCTATTTTGCTCTCAGCTTATGGGATAATAGAGTATAAAAATTACAGTATCAAAACAAGAGTGTTGCAGGGTAAAAATATTCCTTGCAATCTACAGAAACATATAACGGCCAAAATAAACAAAAATGGTTTTATATTAATGCGTCCCAACCAACACATTCACCCGACAATTTTATTATATCTATACACTTTTAAAACAAATGTTGCCATAAACATTCTTAAGTTTGCAGCTCTGATCGCTCATGTAAGAAGGCCGACAACTCTCGATTTAATTACCGTAGCCCGGCTTCTGCAACACGGCAACATAATAAGAACTGAAAATATATTCTGGAATGCCCATTTATATACTTTCAAAACACATGGAAATATGCAAGGCAATGAAGCTTGTCTAAAATGTTTTGAGTCTTCCAATAAAATCATGTTCAAAAATCCTATCGACTAAATACACTTCCTTCATGAAATTTTATTTCTCTGGATGAACAGGTTGTCTTTTCATAATTCTCCAAATATAAAGAGAGTGGAGGCTAGGTTGCACCAAAATGAGAGTTGGAGCTCAGAAGCTATGTCTTCAAAAAAGCTCATAATTTCATTTTCGACAACGCGAAGTCATAAAAGTTCCATATTTCTGAAAGAGAACCAAACTGAGAAATACCGATACCCCAAATATGGCGAAAATAATCCTTGGAGAAGGGGAACAGCAGGGACAAAGGACAACCACAAATCTCCAAACACAGCTACGTGACTGGTGCGCGACCGAAAAAATCCGCCTTGTCCGGATATCGAACCCGGGACCTCTCCATTTCCAATGAAGCGCTCTACCAGCTGAGCTAAGCAGAGCACTCCACTGGAAATGGAGAGGTCTCGGGTTCGATACACGGACCAGGCGGATTTTTCGGTCTCGCATCAGTCACG